TCACAAAGGATGATTAAGACTGATAGTAGCATAGTCCCACAATGATATGATTAGGCCTCACGTTTCCATTACATTTCACTTTTGCTCACATTATCTCGGACTTTCATAATGCAAGATTGTAGATATGAAGACCAAAATGATGTGGCCTTCTGTTTGGTTGCAGTCTCCCTTGGCCTTATTGCATTGGATCGACATTGTTTTCGCAACTTGGTCGGAGCGTCACGGAGACCTTGTGGAACGTACTTAGTCCTGTTTCCTCTGCCATAGTATTCGTGATTTCCAGCTTCGGACCATTGACTCCGGCATCGTCAGTGAGAGACAACATCGTTAATGCTTAATCACAATGCAATGCATATTCATAAAGCAAGTGTCATTCTAATTCGCCAGCATCTCTTTCTACTTTCCTGCCTATTTTCAGTTGGCTGGGTTCGTGTTTTCCTTCTCTCACCTCGCCCTCGAATTAGCAAATGGGAGACTGTAATTACCTTGTAGGCGTCGTTTCCACATTTGCACGTACTTTTGTTGAAGCGGTCTTCGTATGTGCCTCAATGGGCCCTCGGCCTGACAACTCGGGGCAAAGTTCGAGCAATATTGCCTTAAGCATGCTTCAAAGTATTTTTGCAAATTTATACACTTATATACACATATGCCTACATACATACATACACATGTACACACACATACATATATGTATTTATTTACACACATATACATACATGTAAATGTGTGCACGCATTTAGTGGACCCAATTCTGATGGTACAGCACATTTGTTATCTCTTCCTTGTACCTTCTGTCGGACATGAATATGAGACGCCACAACATGGCTGTACAAATCCTGCCCTCCTGTTATGCGCACGCATCTGAGCCCACTTCTCGGACAGCCGACTTGGAGAAACGGGTGATGTGTGGTGTGGTGTGGTGGGGTGGGGTGGGTGGAGGTGTATGCGCCAAATTGTGTGCATGTGTATGGAGACGCCTTGTAAATATTGCGTCGAGTATGAGGTAGATCGGACCAGACGTCAGTGGCCAGCTCTCGCAACAGTCCAGGCAAAGCGATCATCCACTTTGAGGTGAAATCCTATCTGAAAATTGCGCCGGCCGCCTCTCCATGGCCCTGCTGACGCTTTTGCGTGCATAACACTCGACCGATGTTGAGTAGTGTACACGCGGACACACTGACAGGGACGCACGGCGTATGCGGCCATATTGCCTCGTAGAGGCTGCGGGCGAGACAGTGGCCATGCGGTCAACCTTATCGCATTGGGGCGGGCCATTCTCTTCTTCTGGCTCTGTCTGCAGCAGTGCTGAGCAGGCCCCCGTACGTGGGTCGACAATCGAGTCTGTCGGCCCGCAGGCTGAGCTCAAGTCTCGTTCAGATCAGCTCGTTCGACGGCTCGCCCTTTTCTAGTTCAAATTTGCCAGCCCTATCGATCGCAGGCGCCATCTTTCACACGATTTTTTTCGCGCCAGGCAAAACTATCAACAGACGATTTCAATTTATGAGATGTATTCACTCAATTTCTATTTACAACTGGTTGCAAATTCTGCGCTGTCACTCTGAAGCTTGCTGATAGCTTGATGATGGCATTAAAGCATTTGACGCGCTTCTTCCTGTCCCGAAGAGATGATGGATGAGCCAGGCTCGGGAGCCAATATAAAAGACGCTACTCCGCCCAATCGCGGCTTAATACCTCACCTACCATCATCATCATCATCATCATCATCATCCATTATGCCTCCAGTTCGGTCTTACCTGCCAGCTGTGTGCTAAAACAAGGCCAAATCAACAGAACTTTCTTCGCTTTAATTAGACGTCATTTCAATAGCCCATCTCGTTGGCTCTCACTACACCACATAAATTAAGTCCCGTCTCCTTTTCTCTCGCTCGCCTACCCACTGGCTGGTGGTCTGTGGCTCTGCGGCTCTATGGCTCTATGGCTCTACTCGTCTCCCCAACTCTCAGACATATTTCTCACGTCTTTCTACAACTCATCGTCATACCCAGTCCAGCTACGTCCCCACCAGGGGCTTTGGCTTTGGGGTCGCCTCAAACACTCGCAAAGTTTTAATCATGCCAACCTGTCTATCCACAGACGCAAATGCAAATGCAAATGCAGATACACATACAGGCGCAGGCGCACACATCTGACAAAGGGTGCATCTCGACTCATCCTGTCCTCTTTGTCTCGTCTCGCCATCTCCTGCCTCTCTTTGCCCCGCCCATTTGACCTTTGACCCAACAACATAAGACCGCTTCTGTTTCACGGCCCGATTGCCTCTCACGTGCCTCTAATTACTGGCATCTACGTCTTCGTTATCTTCCCACATCGGTCTTCTTCTTCATACCTTTTTAATATGATCACGGGTTTCCCCTCCCAACCTCGAGTGTCGTAGTGGGACTGCCTTAGCAGACTGACTGAATGTTCTGTGTCTGGTGAACAATAGAGCGTGATAGAGGGGCTGGTGGATTTTGAGGCCCCTGCCGCCCACCCACTGGGATGAAGTGGCTTTTTCAGTTTTCCACACACTTCCCTCAGAGGTCGCTCAGCTAATCTTCCTATCGCGCCCCTGGCATGGAGCTCAAGATGACCTTGACAGCGACGTCCCCCAGTCCTGGTGGAGCTCCAGAATCTTCGGCTCCACCATCTGGCCGAAGTGACTTCAAGCCTCGGCACATTGAGAAACCCGGGCATGTGGTGTGACCGGTCTCCTCGTCCAGAGACTGAATCTTAGTTGTATGTAGGAGACTCGTTGAAATAGCTGGGCTTGAATCCCAGAAATTTGACTCTCCCATTACGCCTCAGCACCACCTGAGCATGGCGGGAGCCGGCGAGGATCGCAGTCTGTAACTTGAGTTTTCGCTATGACGGAAAAGTTGATCGGCTGCATCATAAACTGGAGGAGATTTGAGAGGGAGGCTCCGAGAGATATTTCGCCCAAGTAGAGGAAATTGGAGTCAAAAGTTTCAGTCACCCTAGGTCGAACAAGGCTATAAAGGGCGGCCGATAGGTGAATTTTTCCACAGTTATATGATCAAGCTTCGAATTTCCATTCAATGCTTCTCATAAAGTAATGTCATTCAGGGTGGACTGCAGTTTCGAGCTTGCCTCGATCTCATCAGCACCCTCAGAGGGACTCGAACCCGGTGAGGCCTGGCCCTGCATGAACTTTGCATCTGCTTTATAACCCAGGTGTATTCGTGGCAGTGCGGTGTGATGGTAGCCGGTTAGATTCTTCTGAGCAGGGATCAGACTTAAGTGAGGTCGAAACTGCCATTCATTCTGGATAAGATACTTTTTGGGAAGCAATGATATGTGAAATTCTATAGAAACCTGAGATAAAATTAAACTATCAGTCCCTCATCATCTTATACGACCTAGGGTGACTAGAACCCTTATTCAGTTTCAAAACCTACTTTAGATGAATAAAGGTAGAAACCATTTTCTCGCATCTCTCCTAGCTCATAGTAATATGTCCTCATCCGTTCCACCGTCCATTTTAACTGACATATTGTCGCTTGGTGCTAAAGCTAACATTGATGTCCGTTACATTGCCAGCGGAATATACCCAGCCAACGGTCTGCTGACAGTGGACGCAGTACAGGATATATTCTTTGAGGTTCCCCTGTAAACATGTCTAAGTTGTGAAAACATCAATTCTATGGAGCGAAAGGAGACTGACGAACCCAAGGGCCATGCTATCTTATGTCAAGTTAATGTCGGCCCACCATTCCTTGTCTACCTTAAGGAGGATTCTGTATACAAAATACCTGCCCAGTAGCACCTTGTTGACATCTCAAGCCCCCTTATTGTGGCTTCACGGTTCCGATGGGCTGTCGACTCGCAGCATGCATGGATCACGCTATAGTGACAACTAATAGATCCAAGCCTGAAGGGCCAGCTTTGTCCTGCCCATCCAAATAGCATGGCTCGTCTAGTTTGTACACAGATCTAACTTGTGTTTCAGTCGGTCCCACACTGTGCATACAGAGACCTAGCCAGAAAGTGTCTTTGCCCCATAGCTCAGCCCTCGTTCAGGAGGTCAAGGCAGGGACGTTAGCAACTCTTTATTTCTCGTGAAAAACATGATTAGAAAGAAGACAGCCTAAACAGTCTGCTTGCTGTTAATGTAGAAAATGACACTTAGTTTTATGAAAATTCGTGGGCACATGTGCATATCTGTTTTCATCTCGCACTTGGCTAATGTACCACTCTTCTCTTATGCTCCCTCTTCTGCTTCCTTCGTATCCTCGTCCGTCTATTCTTCTATCTACTCTTCCTTCCTTACACTCCAAATCATGCCTAAAAACACTGGCGCATCAATTTTTGGACAAGTGGACGCGCTGCCTGAGCGTCGGTATAATGAGACTTTTATAAAAGATTTGTCGAATACCACTTCGGCAACATCAAAGTGACGCAAATGTATCATTTTGTTCCGTCCATTCTCTTTTGATGTACAGTCTAGTTGTCATGGCACAAACGGATTCTCTCCAAAACAACCTTTTCTAGTGATGCTGTTGCTGATGTTGTCGCTAGTGTTGCTGTTGTTTTTTGATGAGTTTGCCATTTTTGCTACTTTTACTGAGGATATTTCCATCTCCGCGTTAGGATGGCTGATAGCCTGAACTTTGAAGTCTGCTGCTTAAATATTACCGCAACAGGACTTTTTTCTGGTGCACAGCCTTCATTAAGGATTCAAACTTCAGCTTATTTGGCCCTTAATAAGTCCTGGAACGGATTCCGAGTTGTCCATGCACCGGTAGCTGGCACG